TCCAGCGGCTTGTGTAGCACCCTGCACTATACCTTTCTATAGTATCTTTTGCATTTTTGCACATGCACTTTATACCAGCATATCTCATGTCATGTTTTATTAAAGAAGTGAAGAAAAAGACAGCCCAACAAACTGTGCTGCTCTCCTTCAAGTCACCCCAAGGACAACGTCTAAGAAAAATAATAAATAGATTTTATTAAGAATAATGAATTAAAATCAAATTACCTAGGAACTCATATATATGACAAAAATCCTGTCAATTATGTTGCAAAGTTACAGTAGAAATAACATGTATCAATCACAATTATATGTAGCAATATACACTAAAACATAGTTAACACGCTGGGGCGATCATCTAGTATGGAACTATTTTGAGGCTGATCTATCTAGATTCACTTTATACCATTTCTACATTTCTACTTTATATTTCCCTCTCCACCCATATTATCTTCTCTATCCTTTCGATTTCCAATACTAACCTATCTACCTGTATTCTCCAATTTTTTGCAGGGTTTATTGTACATCACTTTTTATATTAACTCGTTTTGAGTCCAAATTGATATAGATTAGTGATCGATACATATTACCTAACTGTCACTTTGGAGATAATAAGTAGGATTTTGGTATCTATATGAGTCTGTAGGCAATTGGATATCCAATTTAGGTTTTTGTCTGATGTATCTCTGACTTTTTATCCACCCCTAGTGCATTTACATTGACAGTGTGCTGTAGCTACTTTGGGGTTGATTGCCTAAACATGTTGGGGCGAATATATAGTATGGAAGAACTGTGAGACTGATTTATTCAGCCTTTTTTTACTCTATAATAACTTTCTTTTCCGTTTTCATGGTCTCCCCCAATATACTGTTCTCCGATGTATGTTTATCATATCTGCACTCTCTGATTTTCTGCAAGGCTTAGTATGTATCTAAAGTATCACTTGTAGCACCAACTATGTTTTAGTGTATATTGCTACATATAATTGTGATTGATACATGTTATTTCTACTGTAACTTTGCAACATAATTGACAGGATTTTTGTCATATATATGAGTTCCTAGGTAATTTGATTTTATTAAAGACACGGAGGCTCATATTATGCATAACTCTTTCTTTATTTCCTCAGCAGCAAAGATAGAGGAATATAAATATTGTCAAAATGAAAGAAAAAACTGCATAGATACACAGGCAACCAATCACATAACAGAGGAAGTGACTATAAAAGGCCTGTGTCTCCCACAATCCCCCTCTTTCTTTGCTGCTTCCTCAGACAGCTAAGTACTTTGCTTGGTCCATTGTATTTATTTGCTGTGTTTTATATTTACATGGTGTTATGCTGTACTGTTATGGTGCTTTTCTTATGGTTGTTTGAGATTGCACTGTGATTGTTCACATTCATTCCTCTGTGTTTTATATCTGCTGAGCTGCCTCTTGCAGCTCCTACACTGTCCCCTGCGCTGGTGCTCCCACCCAACCCTCCCTCACTCCGCCCGCCGCGACCGCTCTGCCGGCCGGCGGGTGCCTTCTATTCCCAGGTCGGCTTTCAGCCGCGGCTCTCTCTGGTACTGCCGCGGCTGTCAGCGTGTTTCCCGGCTCGCGTGTTTCCCCCGCCGGGTTGCAGGCCACGAGCGCTCCCTGCACGTGCGGCGGCCATCTTGGGGGCGGTCCTTATCCCCGGTCGTTCCATTCTGCTGCCGTGCGCTCTGCCTTACTCCTGGGTCCCTGGGGTGCACCAGTGCTCAGGTTTTTCTTCCTATTTTCACTCTGCAGGGTTAATCAACCCTTTCAATCCTGTTTTTGATACTGTTTTAACTTGTAAACTGTTTGTGTTGGGTTCTTCCCCTGGTAAATTACTTTAACTATGCAGGAGAGGGAGGATGGGCCTGAGGGCCTCCCCACTGATTTCAATACAGATAATCCTGTGGGGGCTACTGCTTCCCAGGAATTCCAAGCCCTGCTGGATGCCACTATGGCCTCTTCCCTGCAGAAGGCTTTTGCTTCAGCCATGGAGGCTGTATCATCCTCTTTTTCCCAATCCCTGCATTCTCTCCTGCTGCCTTCCATGGCGACTCCCGCCCTCCTGGGCATGGGACTACCCTCTCCTACCCCGACTGTGCCGGGGGCCCGTAAGGCTAAGGAGAAATCTAAACACGTCGACTCCCACTCCTCGATGCAGGTTCTACCTGCCATGATTGACACGCTAGAGGCGGTCACAGACAGCGCGCCTCCCACGCGCAAAAGAGCCCCTGGCCGGGCTAAAAAGGCTAGGTTGTGGAAACGGGCTAAAGCCCTGGATGATGGGTCGGATTCCGACCGGAGTGTGGAGGATGAATCAGACGTTCTGGAGTATGACTCCTTTGGTGAGGGTGAGTCGGGTGAGGACTTACCGCTTACGGGTGTGACCCCTTCTGGGGCACCCGCCGCTGCCCGTAGTCAGTTGATAAACCCCACTGGGGATACCAAGGCACTGGTTGACCCTCAGGGCAACCCCTTATTTGACCCCGACGATCTTCGTCACCCTAGGTCCGCAGAGTGGGTTCCCCCGGACCATATTGCTCAATATGTGGCACGGCGCATGCACACCCCCCTTTCCAAAGAAGGTCGCAATAAGTTGCGGGCGGAATGCCCCAGACCCTCTCTGCCCGGTGCAGCCTGCAAAACCCCTGACATCGACCCTCAGATTGCTCAATTCATGAACAAATCGGGCTGGAAGCCCAAGAAGGGCTTAGACTATTCGCTCAAGGGGTGCCAGGACAAGCTCTTGGACACCCTGGGTCCTTTATCTAAATTATACGAGCTCCTGGACGGCGCTCGGGCAGGCACTTCCATGCTGGATGTTGATGTTGCCATAGGATGGGTCCAGAGAGCTATCTGTCTTTTGGGGAATGCGAACACTGCCATGTCCTCAGAGAGGCGTAAGGCAATTCTCCTCAAGCTTGACCCAAAACTGGCTGCCATGACTGTGGCGGAGCCTGATCCTTCCGAGGAGGGGATGCTGTTCGGTGCTTCCTTCGTTAAGGACTTGGGGTCGTATGTTAAGACCTTTACGGCCATTGACAAGGCGCAGGCGAATATGAAGCGCATGTTCGCGCCCAAGGTTTTCGGAGGGGCCGGGCGTAGCAGGAACCGTCCACCCGGCCGTGGTTTCCGTGGCTCCTCACGTGCCCAAAGAGGTTCCTTCTTTCCGTCCCGGGGATTCCAGGATCCGAGGACGCCCCCTTTCTTCCCAGCCAGAGGGAGACCTTGGGGCTCCAGATACCCCCGCGGTGCCGCTTCGGGAAGACGCCCTTATGGTAAGTACCCCTTCTTCCCATACTACTCGGGCTCGGGTAGCGGGCAGGCTGGCTCTGTTCCACCAAGAGTGGGCAAGTATTACTTCAGACGCTTGGGTTCTACAGTGTGTGAAGGGCTATCGCCTGGAGTTTGTTTCTCTCCCTGTCCAATTTCATGTCCCCAGGGAATTGTCTCTCCCGCTAGACCAAGACGAGATGATCTCGGCAGAAGTCGAGGAGATGCTGTCGAAAGGCGCTATAGAAGAGTTGCCGTTCGCCGCTCAAGGCTTTACGAGCAATCTCTTCCTGGTCCCCAAGAAAGGGGGCGGAGTCCGCCCGGTGATAAATCTCCGTCCCCTCAACGCATTCCTCCGGTACCAACACTTTCAGATGGAGGGTATACACTGCCTCAGGGACCTCCTCCGTCAGTCAGACTGGCTGGCCAAGTTGGATCTGAAGGACGCGTATTTCACGGTCCCGATAGCGTTGGAGTGCAGGGATTACCTGCACTTCACCTGGCATGGGAGACGCTGGCGCTTTACCTGTCTGCCTTTCGGCCTTTCCTCGGCGCCATGGTGCTTCACCAAGATCATGAAGCCTCCGATGGAGTTCCTCCGTACCCGTGGGGTGCGTTTAATCATTTACCTGGACGACATCTTAATCATGTCCCAGTCCAGAGACCAGCTTCTCACGCATTTGGGATGGACGATCGATCTACTGCAAAACCTGGGGTTCTTGATCAATTGGGACAAATCGATCCTGGACCCATCACAGTCGATGGAGTTCCTAGGTTTCCAGGTGGATTCCATCCGCCAATTCCTATACTTGCCGGATTCAAAGATCAGAGCCATCCGAAAGGAGCTTCGAAGGGCTCTGCGTGTACAAGATCTATCCATCAGACAATTGGCACGCATTATCGGTCTCCTTGCGGCCTCCATTCAGGCGATATTCCCGGGCCCACTCCATTATCGTGCCCTCCAAAGGCTCAAGGGTTCTCACCTCCGATCAGGTCATTCCTACGAATCCCGTGTACAGCTGGACGTGGAGTCCAGAGACGAACTGGTGTGGTGGTTAGCCCACATGGAAGCCTGGAACGGGAGGGCCATCTTCGGTTCCATCCCGGACGTGGTAATAGAATCAGATGCCAGCTTACACGGCTGGGGGGCTCGTTGTGGCAACGTTTCCACAGGAGGCAGATGGTCCGAGACGGAGAGATCCCTGCACATCAATTGCCTGGAGCTCCTGGCAGGGGCATTCGCGATTCGCAGCCTTACCCCAGGGCGGGCGAACTGCTGCGTTCTTCTCAAGATGGACAACGTGTCGGCCGTACGTTATATCAACCACCTTGGAGGCACCAAGTCCAGGATGTTGGCCCTGCTAGCGAAAGATTTTTGGCAATTTTGCCTTTTCAACAATGTGTCCGTGACAGCGGAACACATTCCGGGGCTGGACAATTCGGACGCGGATTGGAATTCCAGACATTTGAGAGACTCGGGAGACTGGCGTTTGCACGTTTCGGTGTTCCAAGGCCTGGACAGACTATGGGGGCGGTTCAGGATGGATCTGTTCGCGTCCCGTCTGAACGCTCAACTACCGGAATTTTACAGCTGGAGGCCGGACCCGGCAGCGGTCGCGACGGACGCCTTTCTCCAGGAATGGCCACCGGGCTGCCTTTATGCCTTTCCCCCGTTCAACATGATCGCCCGCACGATATCGAAGATGACTCGTCACGAGTGCCGCCTGGTTTTGATCACCCCCCTGTGGAGATCCAGACCATGGTTCCCTCGTCTGTTGGAGTTGTCAATAGACTATCCCCGGTTGATCCCGTGCTTCCAGGGCCTCCTTCTGGATCCGGATGGGAACTCTCACGATCTTGTGCGTCAACGACAGTTGCCTCTTGTGGCGTGGCTCCTTTCAGGGGAACCTGGGCTGTCCCAAATGTTCCGCGATCAACTCTCCTGCTCCTCGATAACGCCTGGGCCCCCGGTACGAGATCAGCCTACCGTGCTTCATGGAATTCGTGGTCTGATTGGTGCATGGAACGGTCTGTGGATCCCGTATCTGCCCCTCTCCATCTGATCCTAGAGTTTCTCACGACACTGTTTGAGACGGGCAAGGCATACCGCACCGTCAACCTCTACCGCTCGGCGATTTCGGCCGGGCATAGTGGTTTGGATGGCTCACCAGTCGGCAGACATCCTTTTGTGTGCCGCCTTCTCAAAGGCATCCGCCTCGCTCGCCCTCCTAGACCTCGCTTCTCTGCCTTCTGGGACGTCAACGTCATGTTACGATTCCTCTCATCTTGGTATCCTAACCACGAACTGAGTCTCAAGCAGTTATCCTCCAAACTAGTGATGCTACTCTGTTTGGTTTCATGTAAGAGGGTGTCTGATGTTAGGGCCCTTGACTGGGATGCCATTGTATTCACCCCGGAGGGTGTTACTTTCAACATATCCAGGAGGACAAAGTCGGCATCCAAGTCGTTCACGTATCCTAGGTTCCCGGGCTCTCCAGCATTGTGTCCGGTTGAATGTCTGAAGACTTAACTGGATGCTACTCGACCTTTTCGTTCCTTGGACTTGCATCCTCTGTTCGTGTCTTTTAGGACACCTCATAGGCCTGTTTCGACTCCGACTCTCGCACGATGGGTGCGCTGGCTTTTATCCTCGGCGGGCGTTGACACTTCGCTCTTTACGCCTCACTCGGTTCGGGGTGCTATGGCTTCGAAGGCATCCACGGTCGGCTGTCGACTAGAGGACATCATGCGGGCTGCGGACTGGTCTAGAGAATCGACCTTCCGTGAATTCTATTTCAAACCTATTGAGCATATCGCATCTCAGGTGATCGCACAGCTTTAAACTTGCATAATATGAGCCTCCGTGTCTTTAATAAAATTCCCAGATTTTACTATTAACATGACGTAAAGTCATGATTTTATTAAAGACACGGAGGCGAGTATTATTCCCTCCCACCCTCCCGTGAGGGTATAGGGTTGAGATGCTTTTGAGCTCTTCAGGTACGTTTTTTCATGTCGGTATGTTTTTCTATGTCACTATGGGTATGTGACTCACTTGTTATATCACATCGACTAATTATTTATTTATGTTTTTCAGATTCCGGTTTATCATGGAACTGCTAATGTTTGCTTTGACCCCTATATTATCTGTCGTTGAGTAACCAATAGTTTGTTTTGGTAAGTTTACAGTTTGAAGTCTGGGTATTACCATATTTCTCTCTCTCTTTTTAGCTTGAAGTTTTCGGTTCGTTGCCTTTTTCCTGTTATGGACAAGTTGGATTTCGTTCTTCTTATCTGGTCTTCGGTTTCCGCAAGAAAGAGGGGGATTGTGGGAGACACAGGCCTTTTATAGTCACTTCCTCTGTTATGTGATTGGTTGCCTGTGTATCTATGCAGTTTTTCTTTCATTTTGACAATATTTATATTCCTCTATCTTTGCTGCTGAGGAAATAAAGAAAGAGTTATGCATAATACTCGCCTCCGTGTCTTTAATAAAATCATGACTTTACGTCATGTTAATAGTAAAATCTGGGAATTTTAATTCATTATTCTTAATAAAATCTATTTATTATTTTTCTTAGACGTTGTCCTTGGGGTGACTTGAAGGAGAGCAGCCCAGTTTGTTGGGCTGTCTTTTTCTTCACTTCTTTGTATATTTTGTGCTCTATGCACGGTTATGCCCTTTTTGTCACCCCTATAACCCACTTTTTCCTGTACTCCCTATTTGGACTTTCTATTTAGGGAATACTTCTATATATACATGTTTTATTAAAGCTGCTATTCTTAAGGGGGCTTTTTTTGCCAATTTTGGCTTATACATTGCGATATTTGCACATTATTTGTGCTATTGCTTAATTTTATTCAGTTATCAATAAATTGCATTTTATCTTTTTATACTATATCATTGGCAACTGAAGTGATTATGGTGATTATGGTGCCCTGTTGTCTGGTATTGATCTGATCGTATTCAGTTTTGGTTGTAAGTAATCATACATGTAGATCAGTTGGCAGGATAAAGTTTACCCTTTTTACTCTCTGAGGTTACGTGGTATGTCTTGGTTAATTATGGAAAGTGTTTCTCTGAGGGAACCTAGCTTAGTTGTTCGTAGTTAATTAGGTACCATCATAGATTTAAGAGCTTGTTAATGTGCTAAAATTTGCTTAGATAGATC